GTTATCTAGCAGCAGCACAACTTTGCTGTTTTGCAGGAGACCAACACTTTTCAGGTGCTCCTTCACCTCGGGTACAAAGTTCTTATTAAAACCACTCGACAAATATTACTCGAGACATCCACGCACTTGGCTGGTCCTTATAAATCACAGGGAGGTACCTGGCTGACTTTAAAGCCCTGGGGTTTTTACTAATTCCAATCACAAGTAATTTTAATTTGTGCGTGCCAGCTGCATTTGCACAGCACAACAAAGAAATTCTCTGTTTGTTCTGTTTATAACCACCTGAAGGATCGTCCTCACCACTATGAGCCATCGTTTCTGTGGGAAGCATACACCAGTACAAACCTGTCTCATCAGTATTATAAATTTGCTCTGGAGATAAATTTTGTTCCTGCATCATCTCCGCAAATTTACTTACATACTCATCAGCACCAACAATATCAGCAGATTGTCTTTCACCATGTACTTTAATGAACCTAATGCCATGACGGGTTTTAAAACTTCTGAGCCATCCATCACTGTATACACACTTTTGAGTAATTTTCATTGCTTGGTGAAATTCACGCGCCTTTTCCACGAGCAGCCAGCCTGCCACTGGCTTCTTCGTCACCTCACGTCTCTGTTTGTACCACTCCCACACTGCGTTATCAACACTCTCCACCTTTGCTTTACTTACTATCTTTCTATTTCGTATTGCTTTATCACTTTCACTTCTAGAGAAATAGTAAAAAATGATAGGTTTAGCCTTAAGAATCTAAATCTTTCTATTTCGTATTGCTTTATCACTTTCACTTCTAGAGAAATAGTAAAAAAATAAAAATAAAAATAAATAAAAAATAATAAAAATAGGTTTAGCCTTAAGAAGATAAAAAACAGTACTTTTACTAATGCCATATTCAGCGCACACGACACTTCTCGGGACACCACTCTCCACCTTCTTAATTATTTCAACTTTCTTCTCAAATGTCATCACTGACCTCTTTCTTTTACGTGACCCGCTTTCACTGACACAGTGCGTGCATTTGGAGTCGACATTGTGCACGGATGTTCCTTGATTGTGCTGATATGTAAAACAAAGTCACGGAATGAATACTCCAGTCTCGTGACAAATTCAAACAATGGGAACAATAGGCCGTGAGTCTGTGACGTCACAGGGTAGCAGGCGGCGCCCGACACGGTCAGTGAGCAAACTAAACCATCTCCCACCCACCCACCCACCCACCACCACGGGCCGGCATGACGCTTGGCTGACCGCTTCCTTACCCGAACTTGGTTCGTGTAGAATAACCCCAACCCAGGCCGGCGTGAAGCTTGGCGGACTACTTCCTACCCGAACTTAGTTCGTGTAACGTGACTCCCCAACCCCAATCGGGAAACTGGAAGTTTCGGATAACTAAAGTTCAGGAACCAAGTGGTGCTCTGTACATGTCAGTAATGTGTCCACAATAAATGTTTATTGTCGCAATATTACCTGTTAAAAATTCACTAAAATTACAATATGTACAGTTTCACACACTATTTACACAGTAACACACTGTATTACATGCGAGACAGCTAGGCGCGTCTCCTTGCACCCGTTGCCTCTGTTCACCTAGCAGTAATTAGGAACTTGGTTGTTAGTCGACTGTTGTGGGTCGCCTTCTGAGGAATGGTCAAATGCTGTTCATATTCGAAAAAACTTCAAATTTCCCACAAAACATGGAAACCCAGACAGAAGTACTTCTGTACTGAGTACTGAGTACAGAAGCACTCAGTACTTCGGAAGTGAGTAATAATCAACGAAGTAGCCCATGGTACACAGCGCAACTTTGCTCTCAGTGCACCAGGTACAGATAAATTTTCGCTTCCTGTTTCTTCATTCTGTGTGCTTGCAAATAACTCACTCACGTACACCCTTGGCTTTAGTATTTGTATGTTGTATGCAGCCAAGCTTGTAAAGCATAAGGTAGTATTGAAAAGATCATAGGAAAAGATCAATTTGTAAGGTAGTCTTGAAAAGATCGCTTTGTATGGTCCCACACAGGAAGAGATTCAGCTTGCCTCAAGAGTGTCCATCAGTTAGGAAGAGATTCAGGTATTCTTGAAAATATCTATGGAAAACACCACCATGGAAGCCGCTAACACTGTTCATCTATGATATTTGTATCAGATGCATCATCACTGAATGCAGAAAACGATTCATCTATGTATCATCTAAATAAATTGTAGATAGCATAGGATTGCAAGGGTGATGCTCAGAGATACAACTGGATATGCTTGCTGTGTCGCCCTCATAGGTGCTGTATCACTTGCATCTGACCTTTGTGTTAGGTCCTTATTGCTCGTAGCTTCACCAATATTATGACCCTTGTGTTCTTCAAACAATAAGGTTTGAATTTCACCGACAGAGCGTTATCTTTCAACACCGCGTCGGACAGGTGTTTGGGAGCCAGAGGTGCGTGTGCCACCCATGGTTGCTCATTCAGTACTAACCCAGCCAGCAGCCCTAGAGCATTCTGGGATTTTTTTCCAAGATGGCTACCTCTCATTGGACGTTCTAAGAGTCCATTTCGTACACAACCAACCTCGTACACATTTAGAATTGTTACCGAAAAATCAAAGAGAGTTTTCTCGGTTGGCGCAGTTTCCCGCCGACCGAGAATACTCGGTTGGCGCAGTTAAGTAGTTAAGATATGGGCACCACACATCTACTGCATATTCGAGTTTTGGCCTAACAAAAGTCATGAACAATTTCTTTAGTTTTTTGCCATCCATGTATTTAAAATCAATTCTGAAATTAGAAAGCATGGCATAGGCTCCTCACACAACGTTCTTTATGTGGTCCTCAGGAGATAGTTTTCTATCCAGAACCACCCCTAGATCTCTTTCTTTATCAGAATTCTTTAAGGATTTCTCACATAATTTATTTATTTATTTTTTTTTTTTTTACATATATACAAGAGTTGTTACATTCTTGTACAGCCATTAGTACGCGTAGCGTTTCGGGCAGGTCCCTAGAATATGATCCCCGCCGCGAAGAATCGTTGTTACAACCATGTACCCATTTTACTGTTGAGTTGAACAGAGGCTACAGTTAAGGATTTGCGCCCAGTAAATCCTCTCCGGCCAGGATACGAACCCATGACAAAGTGCTAGCGGAACGCCAGGTGAGTGTCTTACCACTACACCACGGAGACTTATAGGTTGTGTGGGGTCTATGTTCACCTATTCAACATTCTATAACAGGCATTTATTCACATTAAATTCCATTTGCCAAGTGATGCTCCATATACTTACTTTGTCCAGGTCTTCTTGAAGGGCATGACAAGCATCTAAGTTTCTTAACCTTCCTATTATCTTAGCATCATCAGCAAACATGTTCATATAATTCTGTATTCCAACTGGTAGATCATTTATGTAGACAATAAACATCACCGGTGCAAGAACTGAACCCTGTGGTACTCCACTTGTGACATTTCTCCACTCCAATACATTGCCTCTGATTACGGCCCTCATTTTTCTATCAGTCAGAAAATTTTTCATCCATGTTAGAAGCTTACCCGTCACCCCTCCAATATTTTCCAGTTCCCAGAACAACTTCTTATGAGGAACTCTGTCGAAAGCCTTTTTTAGGTCCAGATAGATGCAGTCAACCCAACCATCTCTTTCTTGTAACATCTCTGTGGCTTTATCATAGAAGCTGAGTCAATTCGATACACAGGATCTTCCAGATCGAAAATCATACTCTCTGTCTGATATTATATTATTTCTCTCCAGGTGTTCTACCCATTTAGTTTTTATTATTTTGTTCAATATTTTGACTATTACACTTGTCAATGATACAGGTCTATGATAGAGGGGAGTCTTCCCTACTGCCACTTTTGTGGCAGCAGGGAAGACCCCCTCAGATTAAAGACAATATCAGATAAAGATTAAAGATATCAGATTAAAGACATATGAGATAAAGACGATATGTGACATACATATCGTATGTGTGTGTCACAGTCCATGATTTCTTCTTCGTTGTGATACCTATGGTGCTCCTTCCTCCCTGGTTAGTCCCCTTGTTTTCCTTGTCCTTGGGTACACCAATTTTTGGGTGAGCCCTGTTGACTCCCTGAAACCCTTCATTCCCAAGGAAATCAGGGTAGTTTTTACTGTCATCATAGAACTGAGGGGTGGAGTAGGTGGCTGATTCGGTCTGCCTCCCTCCTCCTTCCCCCCATATGAGGGGAAGGGGGGCAAGTAGGTACTAGGGCATTATCAGGAGAAAGTGCCAAGCTATTACAAGTGCTATTACTATATAGCACTTAGAAGGGTCAGGATAAGGATTTGGGATGGGACGGGGAAAAGAAATGGTGCCTAACCTCTTGGACTGGACGGTAGAGTGACGGCGAACAAGCTTGTGCTAGTTTCATAATTTTTCAGTTGTTTGTTTACAATGCTGGGGAAGTTCTTTTGGAGAGTTTGAGGCATTGATACTAACTTATAACCAGCAGTGGTCTGTTTTGTCTTGCTGACTTTTGTGGGTGCTTCCTTGGTGGAGACGATTAAAATTCACAGACAATTTTGATCATAGTGCCACTGCTCTCTGCTTCTCTTTAGAGGGGGCAAGATTGTGGATTGTGGTCCCCGGTAGGGCTAAACAAACTCCGCAACTGATGGCACCTTATAGTTTGGCACTGTATTAGCAGTGTAGCTTCAAGGAGCCACTGAGCCTCATCCAGAAATTGGGGCTTATTATATTCAACACTGATTTTATGACATGTCCCAAGAATTGTGCATAATGTAGTAGTGTGCTGCAGCTAAGATAACTTGCATTCTAAGGGATAGGGCTTATCAATGCCAACACTCAAGCTGAGGGAACTACTTAGAGTTCCAGCAGGAAAGTGCATTTCATTACATTCAGTACTTAATTTGTCTTATTTTGCACACTGGGAGATCATGTATTTGGGTACACCTATAATTCAAGTATAGTTTGAGAGTACATCAATAATTATTTAAATTTCCTTCTAATCCAGGGTGAGGAACGGGTAAGGTTCAGCCAAGAATATGCTGCTACAGACTTCAAGCTGGATTCTACCCCACCAGGAACTCCTCCCCCTCAGCAGGTCAGTTACATATCTGCTTGTTTTTTTTTTTTTGTGCTGTCTATTTGACAGTGAATTTTTCAAGTGCATTACACATTAAATACAAATGCAGTGCACAGATAATTTTTCTATAGGTTATTCCAAAAGTCAGGTGTTGAATATAATGAAACTTCCTTTTCTGGTTGGCCACTCAGTAGCTCCCAGAGTTATAGCCCTGGGGCTACCAAGTCTTAGGAAATCGCACCAGACTTCTGAGACTCGCCTGAGCATACTAGAAACCAGGACCAGACTCTGACTATATAGGGCAAGAGGAGCCTGGGAATCAGAGATCAACCCAAAACTGCAAAAAATCTGACCAGCAAGTATAAGGGCACAAAACGAATGAATGCTTTACGGGACATAAGCAACCTTTAGGAAACCGAAGCAAACAATTATTGCCATGACGTAAAGCCTCCAGCTGTAATGAACCTCATTCATGAGCTGTCTTTATAAATTATCTCCCCCCCCTCCCCCCACAACTCATATAGGAGAAAAGGAACATGGTGATTACAGGTAGCTACTGAGTGGCTCACCAGAAAAGGGTTTTTCATTACAGTTAGCATTTGATTTCTGAGAAGAAATCAGTAGTATCCACAGTTAACTCACAATGGTGCCTTGACAGAGGAGGCCAGCTTTACTAAAAGGGAAGCAAGCTAGTAACAACTGCACTACACACCTGTTTCATATGACAACACCATAGTGTGAACAAAAAAACATAAATGAATGCCTTCCTCGGTAGAAGCATAAATTAATAGCTTAATATATAAATGCCATGACTCCCTGTGTCTCTGTGAGAGGACCAGGTTCTGGCTCTGGGTCCCTGGTAGGCCAAAGAATGCTGTGACTGATGGCACCTGCATTGGCGATGGTAGCTTCAAGAAGCCACAAGAGGCTACCTCCAGAAATGGAAGATTTTATTGCCTTTTTGCAAATTCAGTGCAACCTCAATTTGGCAAACTATATAGGACCCACCCTGATATGTTTGGGTGAGGGATTCGTTGCAATCGGAGATGCCTTCAGGAGGCATATTTTTTAGTAATACAGTATATACAAGAATAAATCATTGTTATATACTACTATTCAACTGTATAGTAATTTAGCTAAATTTACCAGGCTGATATGAATATACAGTACTGTATTAGTTTTCTGGCATCAATCAGTGTGCATGGAGTTCTTGCCTACCGGGAACCACGAGCCAGAACCTGGCCCCCTCAGAGAGGCATGAGGAGCAGTGACCCATAGAACCCCCTGTGTGGTTGGAAGCATTCTATGTTGGCCATCGACCGGGTCTGGCACCCAGAAAGGTGGGTGGTCGAAAACAAACTCCAATACCAGTGGCCTCAATGAGGACAGGAAGCTGATGGCTTGTCAATGGTCCCCCCATTTGCCCTGATGATCTTTTCTATCTGTACTTTAAAACCCAGCAGTCTTTTGGGATCCACGGCTTTGGCGGGAAGGCGGTTCCACAGGTTTACAACCCTATGGGTGAAAAGGCATCTCCAGTTTTCTGTCCTACACTGTGGCTTGTTGAGCTTGAACCCATTGCTCCTTGTTTGTGTTACATCTGACCTTTTGTATTAGGATCAACATTGTCCAAATTGTTTAGTATTTTGAATGTTTCTATGAGATCTACCCTGTCATGCCTGGTCTGCAGTGTTAGCCCAATAACCCTCAACCATTCCTGATACAAGAGATGACTAAGCACTGGTATGATTTTTGTTGCCCGGTATTGCACCTTCTCCAGAGCAGCTATGTCATTCTGAAGATGCAGTCTCCATGCCTGGATTCAATAATCCAGGTGGGACACACCAGAGACTTATATACAGGGGTACCTCGGTTTAAGAGTTTAATCCGTTCCTGGAGACAGCTCGTAACCTGAAAACTTGTAAACCGAGGCTAATTTCCCCATAAGAAATAATGGGAAATGAATTAATCCGTTTCTGACTACCCAAAAACCTCACTTCAAACTAAATTTTATACCCAATACATCAAAATCTACACTACAAAAGTATGTTCAAGTTATTACTTACCCTTGCTGATGACTGCTGTTGGCGTATGGAAGATGGTGAGGAGGGGGACGGAGAAGAGGTGTTACTGTTTGCTAGGGGGAGTCCCCTTCCATTATAACATCAGGCAGTGAGGACTTCTCTGGGGTGCACTCTCTGGCACGTTTTGCCTGCATACCACTAGGTCCTGACTGTGGCTCACTGCTTGATTTTTACACAATGAAACGATCCATTGAAGATTGTTTTTCCCTTCTTCGCAACATTCGTCTGTAGTGAGGCATCACATTGTCATTGAAAAGATTAATGCAACGGCCTACTACAGCTTTCTCTGGCGAGTCGTTTCAATAAAAGTTTGCATTTCTTCCCACATCTGACACCACTTCCTAATGGTTGCAGAAGGGACATCCTCTTCTGCCTCATCCTCCTCCACTGGAGAAATATCCTCAGCTGCCTCTTCTTGCTGCTCCTTTTGAAGGGCTTGGAGTTCTTCAGTGGTCAGTTCTACGTTATGTTCTGCCACCAACTCCTCCACATCAGCACCATCCAATTCCAAGCCCATTCTCTGGCCCAGAGTAACAATTTTCTCAACAAGAGGCACTTCATTTACAGGCTCAAACCTCTCTAGTTCTGGCACACATTCAGGCAACAATTTTCTCCAGCCAGAGATCAGGGTTCTTTGAGTCACTACTTGCTAGGCTTTGTCAACGAGTTTTAAAGCACTACAAATGTTAAAATGGTGTTTCCAGAACTCTTTGAGGGTGAGGTTTGTGGCACCTAAGCGCATGCAGCCCCGGCACTGATGAGGTACTCCTGGCCACCGAACAACATAGCACACAGCAGTGAACGCTACACAAGGCAAACACCGCCTAGGAAACTGAGGTCAGAGAAGTGTCTATCCCGGTAGACATTAGCTTACGAACTAATGCTAGGCAGCCGGCGCGGTAGGTCCGGGGTTCCCCCCTCCCCCTCTCGGGGCTGGGAGGGCTGCGCGGACGATCGGTGCGGCAGTAAAGTGTGATGTTTGCTTGTTTCCTTGGGATTGTAGGGAGTTTCTACCTCTCTGTTCAGTTTTTTGTTTCAGTTTTTTACTATGTGGGGTTTGTTTTGTTATGCCTACCTTTCTGGGTGCCTAACCCTGGTCGATGGCAGATAAGGAAAACCCCAACCACTAGGGGGTATTCCAGGGCCATTGCTCCCTGAAACCTCTCTGAAGGGACCAGGTTCTGGTGCTGGTCCCTGGTAGGTCTGAACTCCATAGCTAATGTCCCAGTCTAACATTACATACATTAGCCCGATAAGCTCCAGGGAGCCTCCAGGGCTCGCCCAGAAAATGGCGTTTCATTACATTCAACGCTGTTTTTTTCGTTCTGTGTGCTTGCAAATAATGCACTCATGTACACCTTTGGCATTAGTACCTGTAGGTGGTATGTAGCCAAGCTTGTGAAGTGTAAGGTACAGTAGTCTTGAAAAGATCAATTTGTAAGGTAGTCTTGAAAAGATTGCTTTGTAAGGTAGGATTGAAAAGATTGCTTTGTAAGGTAGGATTGAAAAGATTGCTTTGTAAGGTAGGATTGAAAAGATTTAGGTATTCTGGATGAGATTCAGCTCTTTTTGAAAAGATCAGTTTGTAAGGTAGGACCGAGAAAATCCAGGTATCCTTGGAAAGATCTAAGAAAAGCTCAATAAAAAGGTTCTGTCCTGATATCACCCATATCTTCACCTGTTTATCTGAAAGTGGGTGCAACATCAGAATCATCAAATTGGGGGTTTGTGCATTACAAAATTATCATAGTCCTCCCTTGCAAATTCACACCATGCTCCTTGTACTGACACCACCACCACCACCAGCAATAAACACTACCATGGAAGCTGCACACATTTTCTTAATTAAGAGGAAGGGACATCCGTTATTGCCGCCTCCTCCTCCTCCTCCCCCTGAAGTTTTGTTGTACTGCCTAGCTAGTTCAACAACATGAGTACCATTTTCATGTTTACGAATGATCTCTTGATTTTCTTCTGTCGTCATTCTTATATGTGTTTTCCCTGAACCTTACCACTGACTTTCATAGGATCCATGGCCTGATTTATAATAATTAGTTTTATGTTCAAAAAGCAAAAAATCACCACAAAAATGGAATTTCTTATAAGCATGATCGTCACTAAGCGGGCGGGTCTGGTAAACTGAGGCAGGTCAGCCTGCGCGACTGGGAAACATGTGCTCGGTCGACCCGAATGTGTATCTATGAATATCATTAGTCGACGACACTATTGTAAGTCGAGTCACATTTTTCGATCAAATTTATATCGTAAGTCGGGGCAATCGTAAGTCAAGGTGCCACTGTATACCGTTAGCACAGAAATGTTATCAAGGTCCCTCAAGGCCAACTATTGACTTTTCCCAGTGTGCAATCCACAACAATTACCCATCTCCTGGAGATCTATTTATTGCCATGTGAACAAGAGGTATCAGGGGAAAACGAAACAAGCCCAACCATCTTTATCCTACCTTGGGAATTGAACCCAGTCCTTGGTTGTGAGCTGATGACATATGCCCACAAAATCATTAATATATTATTTGTGTCTAAATATGAGGATAAATCCATTTTTATCATTGACTATAAGAAAACTATAAAACATTTGGAAATAACCATAAGAGTGCAATTTTTGGAAATCAGAACTTCACTTAAATCGGGTCCAAAATTATGTGATTTAGCTTTTGAAGATTCTACTGTATATACTCTACATGTATATTTGGGCTGGCCTGTCTTTCCTAATTTTCCTTTATGTTGTGTTGTATATGTAAATTAAACAATTATTTTATCCACAGATGGTGGCAGGGCATGAAGACTTGTGCGGAATATGATTCTAATGAATCTGATCTCTCTAGGCTACACATTTCTTTGCTAGATATGTGCCCTGGGACCTCCAGCTCTATGTAGGACTTACCCAGGGCCTTTGGGCTTCCTACAGACTATCCAGCAATGCAGCAATGAATGTAACTCTCTTGTAAAACATTATTCAGCACCCATTAATATACTGTACTGTACATCTTTACTCTTCTGGATTCTCAACTGATATACATTTTTGAGTGGTCCATACAATGAGGTTTAAATTCCATCCATCATCATGTATTATTCTAATGGATGTACCAAAGACTTCTGAGTTTTCTTTGAAGAGAGCTATTATTTGATATCAGTGAGAAAACAGAGTTGTAACCTGTAGCATTAGTGAAGCTTAAATTCAGTAATGATAACTGTGGAAGAGCATGAGTCATGAATTGTTATGTGGTAAGCTGTTCAAACTCAGCTGATGGTGAAACTGCACTTTAGTGCCCGATTTGGTATGTTACACGACTGAATCATAACCAGTTGCATGATGGCAAAAACTGGAATACAGTAGTCTTCAAATTCACATTAGCTGTTTTGCATAGAAATTTCAAGCCCTAATGCTATTTGCTCAGGTTAGCAGGGTCCTAAATGAATTTGTTAATATGTACCTTAGTGCAGTCTAGATACAAAACAACTATTTTGATACCAGTGTCATTTGGCTATGCTGATATTATTTTTAAGATTAATAATATTTCAGTATATGCCATGTATCTATGTACTATATTAGGACTGTAATCAAAGTTGAAAACCTAACTTTTGTTTATGAAAGCTAAGAATTTCACATGCTTCCAGTTTTTGACTGCTAAGGATGAATAATGTTCTGCTTTTAATGATTATGATATTGTTCAATGCCTTAGAAGTTAAGACGTCAACTTGTGATAGGAGGGTGGTAGCACTGATTTTTATGGTTTAAAAATGAACTCGGTAAATACAACAATTTTACAACATTGTTAAGAGTTTTTGATGTCGGTGCAAAAAACTAGCGTTGAATGTAAAGAAACGCCATTTTCTGGGTGAGACCCGAAGGCTCCCCGGAGTTAACTGAGCTGATATGTATTTATTAGACCCCTGGCATCAGTCAATGCGCATGGAGTTTTAGGCCTACCGGGGACCACGAGCCAGAACCTGAACCCCTCAGAGAGGCACGAGGAGCAATGGCCTATAGAAACCCCCTGTGTGGTTGGAAGCATTCTATATCTGCTCTCAATTGGGCCAGGCATCCAGAAAGGTAAGCACCCCAAAACAAACCCCTATGGTTAAAATATTGCTACTGAAAGCCAAACTAGTGGACAGAAATATCCAAATAAAAAGGAAGAAATGAGCATGATGTCACCATGTCACTGCGCCGCTGTCTGCGCAATGAATGGGAAGCCCTGCACCCCCACGCCACCTGTCCACCCTGCAGTTCTGAGACTGGAAGTCAAAACCGCGAAAAAAATGCCGACCGGAAAGAGGGAGGAATGCCGGGGAGCCTCCGGGTCTCACCCAGAAAATGGCATTTCATTACATAAAAGCTGTTTTTTTTGGGGGGGAAGTCCCTTCGGCTCCCCGGAGCTACTTACCCTGGAGGCGATTGGCCCTCGCTCCTCAACGCGAAGTCGAGACAATTGGCTGCAACCGCTGACCCAATGCGACACAGGCCCGACTAGGCCCAGGAACTTTGACAAGGTAGCGAGTGGCCAGGACCCTGTTTGACCTCCAAAAACCCCATGCTTAAATGTCAGCCCAAGACATGTTACCAAAGACAGCAGCCAACGCAGTAAACTTACGAACGTCGTGGGCACGAGGGTAGACCGCAGGCTTGCTGGACTAAATAATCCTGCAGACAACCTGGGAGACCCGAACCCTAGAACAAGGAAGAAGGGATACCTGGTCAACCCAAAGTGCATTCTCGACCACCGAGGCCATGGCACGCAGGTAACAGGGGAGAGCCGCAATCGGACTCAACACACGATGCTCCCCTGGCCTAACCAACCAAGCATCAACAACTCAAGGATCCCTCCAGAAAGCAGCAGTCTCATTCTTTGCCAGAAAAGGAGACAACTGCAAATGAACAAATCTACCACCAGGACCAGAAGTGAAGAAACTCCTGCTCCAAAGAAAGGAGAAAGAGAGCACCCGGTCCAATGACCAGGACAACTCTGGCAGTGCATGAGCAGGCCAGCGATGAAACAACTTATGAGACAGCTTGCAGAACAGTGCAAAAGTAACATCAATGCTGAAAATAAGCTGCAGCAGCTCCACCAACGTCGCACGATACGAGGAAACAGTATTCGGCATAAGATGATGGTCCTGGAACAACCACGAAAGGAAGGACAAGACAACCTTATCAGAGGGAGAAGTAGACCTACAAAGGGATAAGAAATAATGGAAGGACCGTCAGGAAACTTCATACTGCTGCCGAGACAAAGCACGCATGGGGGACACCATCAATGAAGCCATTTGCTCACCATACAAGTGGTGATAGACCCAAGTCAGGAAGACCAGACACGATGACTCGAGGAAATGATGGAACCACCAGCCACGTAACAGACCAGACCGATCTGCTGAAAGAGGCGGAGCCGCAGGAAGACCCTCAGGTTCGGACACAGAGCAAGCAGCGCCTGAAACCAAGACTGGGCTGGCCATCAAAGAGCCAAGAGGTAAATCTCTCATTTGGTAAATCTCCAAGCGAGCTAGGACCTGGAGCAATAGCTGAACTGGGGGAAGAGTTACAGGTAATCCCACCTCGACCAGTCCTGCCGCAAAACATCAGCCCCGACTGTGAGGCCGTTGGGGAAGGGCACCACATACAATGGGAGACGCTTCGACCACACCATCGCAAAGAGGTCCACCTCTGGAAGCCCATACGTCCAGCAGAGGCAACTGAATGAGTCGGCATCAACCATCCATTCCGTGGACAGTGGAATGAACTGAGGCAGGCTGTTCGCCAGGACGTTGGACACCACACGAACATGAACGGCCAGGAGAGAGAAACCCCGAAAACTCAGCAGACGAGTCACCCGAAGTGACCAGCCTCAAAGAGCCTAGAACCAAATAGAACCCCCGCGATTCAGACAATGAACCACCAGGGAGCAGTCCAAATTGAGCCAGAGCATCGATTCGCGAGCGACCCGAACCCTCAGAAGTGACATCCACACCACTACCACAAACTCCCGCACCGTGCTGTGGGCCTGACGGAAGGATGGATCCCACCGCCCCTGGCCAGCCTGGTAAGCACTGGTCACAAAGCTCCAACCAAGAGACAATGCATCCGTGAATACATCGAGCGAGGGCTCGGGTAGGCACTAAGGCACTGAGCTCCGAAAAACCCGAAGAGGAAGCTGGCGACACTGCAGCCGATACAAGGCACTCAAAGGCCGAACCCAGCGATCGTCAGAGAGGTGGGGTGGGACATCCCCGAAGGAACCAGAACAGCTGACGAAACCAAAACCGACATGGTGGTTAGACCATCACAGCAAAATTCAGGCTCCAGCACAGATCCTTGGGCAACCGTGTGTGACCCGGGAGTCTCCAAGAAACAGGCGAAGGCAGAACTGCAGCTGAAGCAAAGCCTTCGGAGGGAGAGACAAGGCAGTGGTCCGAGAGTCCCACACAAGACCCAGCCAAGATCGAGCCTGAGAGGAAAGCAGATGGGACTTTGTCCAGTTCACCAGGAACCCAAACCTGGTGAGCTGAGAAAGAACCAAATCCCTGGCAAGCAGACAAGCGGACTGACTGGAAGCCTACACTGGACAAACATCGAGAGACGCCAGAACCTGAAAACCCATAATAGATGCAGAGAGGCCACAACGACCTGGGTAAGGCATGTGAACACGCGAGGTACCAGATTCAAATCGAATGAAAGGCAATGAAAGCAGTAAGCCTGATGCCCCACAACAAAACCGAGTCAGTCCCTGAACCCCAGATGAATCGGGGCATGCCAATACGCGTCCCAGAGATCCAGGGACACCATCCAAGTGCCCGGCTCCAGGAGGAGATGGACCTGGGACAAGTTAGTCATCTGAAAGGAGGGGCAATAGACCCAGGGGTTCAGACGGGACAAGTCCAGAATGAACCATAGGTCTGTGCAGTCCTGTTTTGGACTGTACAGACCTGTGATTCATCCTGAAGGAGGAGAGGCCACCCAACACTACCACAGGCCACACAAAACAACCCAAAAGGCCCACAAATTGTGGGACCAGGCATGAGCAAACAGCTTGAGCACCCCTCCACATCACCCCATCAATGGGACAAGCTGTGAAATGGCCGATGCCCCTTACGTGAATTCGACCTCCGCACAGAGTGATCACCGCGTCAACCAGACGAAGATGGTTCCGAAGGCTGTGCCGGCTCCAAAACTGGCCTACCACAATGGGAGGAACCCCGAGCCCCTGGCAAGATCCTTCCAGGAAGACCACCACGGGCCCTCCGAAGAACCAACAAGTCCAACATTGGACGACAACTGGAAGAATCTGCCTGCAGATACTGCACCACTGCAGACTCTGCAAGCAGCAAAGAATAATAGGACAAAGAAAACCTGAGAACCAGGGCCCAAGCAGATTCCACGGAAGTAGCAAGCACCGCCTGCCGACACGCGAGACGGGAATAAAAAACAGCGACACCGCATCCTGCAGGATCGGCGCAAACAGCTTCAAAAGAGCAGACAATGCACACACTGCCGAAACCAATGCACCAGACCCAGGATAGGCCCCAAGTGCCTCCATGTCCTCCTCAAGCCAGTCTGAGGACAGCTTGAGAAGGGAAAAGAACAGCAAGACACCAACAGCGACCAGGGCAGCCGAGAGGGTGGGAACCTGCACGTAAAGCTGCACAATGCAGACATCCCGAGGAAGGGCAAGGAAGAACAAGCACACATTGATGTGCTCAAATTCACCCCCCAGGAAGACCTGGACCACCATATGAGCCTCATGCCACTCAAGCGTGCGGGACCGACATAATGTATGCCACACCTTTAATGACAAAAAAGGGCAGTTCGCAAGCCAGGATGACTCCGGAACCTCATAATGAACCCAGTAACGAAAAGAAGATCCAGACAAGAACGAAGAAGGATCCATTTTGGAGGCGTAATCTGGGTCATGCAGGAGGTAAGCCACAGTGGCCTCCTGCACAACATGAGGAGGGATGCGGGAGGCTAAAAACCTCCTGAAAGATGGGACCGAAGAACCCAAAGGACCACAGAACCGAACCCAGGGAGAGATTGACGCCAAATCCAACTCGTACGAGGAGGGAGGAAAAAAAACCCACTCCCTGTAACAGCAAGCCCCACTCTGAGGATTCACCATAATAAAGGGTACCTTAAACCATAATAAAGGGTACAAAATACAATCAAATGTGCCAATAGTAGGAAAGCAGTCTGTCAGGTGCAGTCACAGTGAGAGGTTGTGTTAGCTTGAGCTCTGATTGTAGTAACATTATTATAGCAATAATGGAAGGATTAGTGAAGGAACTGATGAATCTAGTTGGAACTCTGAGAGCAGAGATGGATTTCCTACGAGAGGAGGTACGACAGCTGAAACATCGGGAAGAAACGAAGGAGATCAATATTAACAAGACCTTGTCGTGGAAGGTCGTTAAGGACAGGGGTCTTAAAAAAACCTTGACAAGGCCGCCTACAGATGCCCTAAGGACATCAAATTCATTTGCCGTGTTGGAAGACGAATGCTGTGGTGAGCCTGCAGTTCACTCAAAACAGAAATCAACGAAGAGCAACGAAGCACAGGCCCCTCAAAGTGCTCAGAAAGTTAAGGAGGTACCTAAACGAATGGGAGTTGTGGGAGATTCCCAGGTGAGGTATTTAGACAGGATGTTTTGTGCCAGAGATAGGGGGAACAGGTTAAGGGTCTGCTATCCGGGAGCTGGAATTGGAGATATTGTTGACAACATGAAAGATATTATGACGGGAAATGGGAACAAACCCATTATTTGTATTAGTGCAGGGGGTAATGATGTTGGACAAGTTAGGAGTGAGGAACTGATAAAGAAATTTAACAGTCATAGAATTAGGAGCAAGGGAGGAATCCCGATCATGTGGGGCATTCTTCCAAGAAAGGGCGTTGGGAATGAATGGTTGTCGAGGGCACTTGGTGTCAATTGCCGGCTGGAAAGATATTGCAAATCAAATGCAATATCTTTCATAGACAACTGGGAACACTTCTATGGAAGAAATGAAATGTATGCTCGTGATGGGGTGCATCTATCGAGGGCTGGGGTTGTTGCTGTTGCGAACTCGTTGGAACCAGTGGTTAGAGGCATTTGTTTGGGTTTAAACTGTTAGTAGATAGTGGTATGGGAATTGATAGGGAGGAAGGAGGTAATAAAAGTATGTGTTTGTTGGAGAAACAAATTGGCAAAATGATCAACGAAAGAGAAGGGCCTCAAAATAACAATTCACTTAGGGTATATTACACTAACAGTAGAAGTCTAAGAAACAAAATAAACGAGTTAAATGCTCTTGTCTGTACAGAAAAAACAGATATTATTGCACTTACTGAAACGTGGATGAATGTAGAAAATAGAGAACTATTAGCTGAATATCAAATAAATGTATATAAACTATTTCACACAGATAGATATATTAGACGAGGAGGGGGAGTAGCCTTATATGTTAGGGACAATTTGAAATGTACTGTAGTTTCAAAGAGGGAATCAAAACTGTGCCCCACACACAAACTATTTGGATAGAATTAATTGAAAAAGCAAATAATATTATAATAGGAGTTATATATAGGCCACCAGATTTAGACAGACTGAAATGGAAGCAAAGCATCTATGGGATGAAATATCTAGAGCGTCTAGATCTAACAGTATTTATGTCATGGGTGACTTTAATTTTAGTGGAATAAACTGGGTGAACAAAACAGGGAATAATGAAGCAGAAGATTTTCTAGAATTAATTGATGATTGCTTTCTTACGCAACATATTAAGGAACCAACGCAGGGAAATAATATTTTAGATTTAGTGTTAACTAACAGGGAAACACAAATTAAGGACATGGAAATAGAGAGTGAGCTAGGGAACAGTGAACATAAAGAAATTAGATTTAGCATAGAATGGAATAGATCTGTAGGAGAAAATTTTGTTAAAAGTGCCTGATTTTCGAAAAGCTGATTTCAATAGCCTGAGAATTGCGACAGGTGACGGAAAAGGGGATTTCGATGTGGATTCAAAATATAACCTATTTAAAAATATTCTAAGCAAAGCCCAGGAACGTAGTATACCATATAAATTGAATAGATCGAATACTAATGATCCAAAGTGGATAAAAAAGGATCTGAAGAACTTTATAGGTAAAAAGAGAGCGTGTTACAAAAGGATTAAGAATGGGGAAGTTAGTTTAGAACAGGAATTCATACAACTGGTTAGAAATGTTAAAAAAGAGATAAGGAAAGCAAAAAGAAACTACGAAGTTCGCATAGCAGGGCAAGCGAAGACAAATCCTAAAGGGTTTTTACAGTTATATCGAACTAAGACTAGGGAAAGGATAGGTCCATTAAAAACTGAGACAGGTCAAATAACGGATAATGGCGAGGAGATGAGTGGTATTTTTAATAAATATTTTATATCTGTATTTTCTAAAGAGGAACTTAACAATATGCCTTCAGCCGAACAAATATATGTAGGTGGGGACGAGGACAGGTTGACTAGTTTAGCAGTTACCAGGGAGGATGTAATTAAACAAATAGTAAAACTAAAACCAAACAAATCCCCAGGGCCGGATGAAGTGTTTGCCAGGGTGCTTAAAGAATGCAAAGAGGAGCTTTCTGAGCCACTGTCTACCATATTTAATAAATCAATAGAGTTAGGTAGAGTGCCAGAATCATGGAAGGTAGCTAATGTGGTGCCAATTTTTAAGAAAGGAGATAGATCACTTGCGTCAAACTATCGGCCAATTAGCCTAACGTCTATTGTGGGAAAGTTACTTGAATCAATAATTGCAAATACAATTCATCTTCATCTTGAAAAACATATATTAATAAATGAGTCACAACATGGTTTTACAAATGGCCGTTCATGTTTAACAAATTTGCCATCTTTTTATTCCAGCATAGTTGAGGCAGTTGATAGTGGTAAGGATTGTGATGTTGTGTACCTTGACTTTAGCAAAGCTTTTGATACAGTGCCACATGAAAGACTGATTAAAAAAATAGAGGCTCATGGTATTGGAGGTGCTATATTAAGTTGGATTAGGGCATGGCTATTTCAAAGGAAACAGAGAGTTAGTATAAATGGGGTTAAGTCAGAGTCGGATAATGTTGTTAGTGGAGTGCCTCAAGGCTCTGTCCTGGGACCTCTGTTGTTTATAATATATATACAGTAAATGATTTATAGATTATAATATATATAAATCCGGGAGCCCATATATTAGACAGAGTCAGCTGAAGGAGTTGGCAGCAACCGTCCATTCTGTGGACAGGGAAATGAACCGGGACAGGCAGTCCACCAAGACATTGAATACCCTCCTTGATATGAACCGCACGGAGAGACAAACCCCAAGAATCCAGCAGACGAGTCTCTTGAAGCTACCAGCCCCAAAGAGCCAAGGACCGAATATAACCCCTGTGGTTCAGACAATGAAGCACCGGAGAGCAGTTCATATGGAGCCGGATAGTGGATTCCCGAGTGACCCGAACTCTCTAAAGCGACAGCCAAACCGCTGCAAACTCCTGCACCATGTTGTGAGCTCAACGGAGCCCACTGCCCCTGGCTGGCCTGATAAACACTGGTCACAAAATCCCAGCCAAGAGACGAGGCATCCGCGAACACATTTAGTGATGGCTCGGGTAGGCGCCAAGGCACTGAACAACAAAAAACCTGAAGAGGAAGCACGTGAAACACAGCAACCAACCCAAGGTCCACGGAGGCCAAACCCAGCGATCGTGAGAGAGGTGGAAGGGACGTCCCTGTAGGAATCGGTACAGACAGTGAAGTCAGACCTGACCCAGTGGGTAAATCAGCACGGCGAAGTTCAGATTCCTGCACAACTGCTTGAGCAACTGCCGAATGACACGGGAATCCTCTTGAAACAGCTCTTGAAACAGACAGGACTGCTGCCTCAGCAACGAATCTGGAGGGAGAGAGAAGGAAGCAGTCCAAGAGTCCCACAAGAGACCCAGCCAGGTCCGAACCTGGGACGGAACCTGATGGGACTTCCTCCAGTTTACCAGAAACCCCGAACCCTGCAAGCTGAGAAAGAACTACACCCCTGTTGAGCAGACACACAGACCAGCTGGAAGCCCATACTAACCAGTCATCGAGGTAGGCCAGAACCCGAACCCCTAGCAGACACTGATGGGTCACCATGACCCGGGTAAGAGGCGTGAACCTGTGAGGTGCCAGATTCAAGCCAAGAGGAAGGCAATGAAAGTGATAAGCCTGCTGTCCCACAACGAAACCTAACCAGACCTCAACCCTGCATGAATCGGGACATGCCAGTACGTGTCCCAGAGGTCCAGAAACACCATCCAAGCGCCTGGCTCCAAAAGAAGCTAGACCTGGGACAGAGTGGTCATCCGAGACGAGGGGAAAGGAATCCAGGGGTTCAGACGAGACAAGTCCAGATTCACAGTCTCATTTCAGCACTGGAAACAGGCAGGAAACCTGCCTGAGGAACAGGGTCGTTTCGACCACGCCTAAGTGCACCCACTCCAAGATGACCCGCTGGGGCGCAGGGGAAGAAGCCTGCCCTGCCAGCCCCGAACCCTACAAAGATGGAGCAACCGCCCAATGCCACCACAAACCAAAAGAGAAGACAACTCGAAACGCCCACAAATCATGGGATCGGGTGTGAGCAAACATCGCGAGTCTTCCCCCCACATCACCCTGTCAATGGGGCGACCTGTAAAAAGGGCCGATGCCCCTTACGAGAAGCCGGCCGATGAGCAGAGCGAGCATTGTGCTGACCAGACAATGCTGAATTCGAAGGAGGCGCTGACTCAGAAACTGGCACCAGTGGTCCACCCCAACTAGAAGACTCGGAGCCCTTTCGAGAAGCCTGAGAACAGCCCCCACGAAGAACCAACAAGTCCAATATAGGATGACCACTGGATGAGGCCACCTGCAGAAACTGAGTGACAGCAGCCTCTGCAAACAGCAACGGACAAAAAGGAGACAAAAACCTATGAGCCAAGGCCCAAGTGGATTCCAAAGAGAGAGAGAGCAGAGCCTGACAGTACGTGAGGCGAGATGCAAAGAACAGAGACACCGCCTCCCTGAGAATCAGCGCAAACAGCGTCAACTGCGTGGCCGACACCTGAGCCGCTGAGACAAGTGCACCAGACAAAGGCCAGGCACCAAAGTTGAAGCAACTAACGCCCCCAAATCTGGGTCCCTATAACCAAAACGGGGCAGTCTCGAGGCATCCGAGTGGGCAATCAACCTTTCACGTTGCATCAACCTAAACCTAGCATGCAACGCTAATGCCGCTTCAACCCGAACTTCAGTGTCAACAGAATGGGTAAACTGGAGTATGAGCAGAGAACAAGACTCGTAAGACTCCAGGTCAAAGGTGTCATTGACCCAGGAGGCAAACATAACAGAGGCAAAACAGGTCACTGTCACCCTGAGACAAGGACATGGGCAACCTTCGAACTCGCACAAGGCGAGGTGGAACTCAGAAGATGCATCCATCAGTCAACTGAGCCCCAATGGGGTTTTCCAGGGCCCATAGGCTGTCTGCTATGGCAAGCCCAGGCAAGGTACTGCAAAGCTGGTTAGACCCAAACTAACAAGGGAGAACTGATAAAAACTGAATCCCTGTGACGTGTACAATCACGGGGGCCTAGATTAAGGTCATCAAAATACCAGAAGTGGACCTACATACAAACAAGGCAGACCCCTCCAGGCAAG